AAAAAAAACATTCCCTTAAGATAAATGGAGGTTAACAGTTTTTTTACGCATCAAACCCTTGTCGAACAGTGGCCGGAGCTCTATGCACTAGGCAAGTGTTCAATGTAATTGGCACGTTAACTCGGTAGTTTTAGTACTTACCTGAATCTTCTATCTTTGAATAGCAACTCAATTAGGGCGTCTCTGAGGTAAGGATTTGGATCAGTAAGAAGCCTTTTAGCAAAATATGGATATGAAGCAGCAATGACCTTAAAATTAGGATCAGCATAAAGAGCTAGACCTTCAAGCACTGTAAGTGATCTCAATATTAATGCATAGTAAGCTGGAACTGCAAGAGGAAAACATAAAACACAATCTCATGTCATTATTTAACGAAGTATGAGATCAAAAAAACGAAACAATATAAGTTACAAATATCAGATTTTGAGATCTAATGCAAAATACATTGAGAAGAAACTCACCATTGAATGGATAATCATATAAAACAGCACCCAAGCCGTCAACAAGGGTTTTGAAATTGAGTTCGCTAACAGTAGCATTAAGAACATCATCAAAAAAGTTTCTAAGAGCCGGCACAATGGGAGAAACATCGACATCAGGAGATAGAAAATCCAATTCATAGTAATCTCGAGCCATGGCTTCGTAGTCTCGATTAACCAAGTGAACAACATGACCAATGATAGCATATCTAGCTTGTTCTGGCGTCTCACTCATCATCCCAAAATCAAGGAAAGCGAGTTTTCCCTCTGGAGTTGCTAGAAGATTACCAGGATGAGGATCTGCATGAAAGTAGCCATATTCAAGCAGTTGTCTTAGGCTACATTGAATACCTGTATTCACCAACTCCAATAGCTTCAAACCCTGTTTCTCAATGGCTTCCTGTTGGTTAAGTTTGATGCCATCTACCCATTCCATTGTCAGAACCTTTGTACTTGTGTAATCCCAAAAGATATCTGGTACTAACACATCTGCCTTGTCAGCATATAGCTTTTTAAATCTCCGAGCATTTTTGCCTTCCTGCACAGGAACTTATAAATAAAAGCCTGAAAATTTTAAAAAGTAATGTTTCACTAAACCAAATAGTGAAAATTTTCA